TGCCTCTAGATAGGCAGAGCCAGCTGTCAGTCACACAGCTGGGCGGATATCGAGCTGTAGCTCGCGGTATACTGAGCTTTGGGTGACGGGAGGACGCTAGTTTGTGTCCTCCCGTTACCTTAAGGAGAACTATGGAGGGCCCATGGTCATTGTATCGGGGTGAGTGTACATTGTGGAGGATGCGTTGGGTTTCATTGGCAAACAGGACAAGTACACTGAGGCCCCGTTCACATTGAGCGATTTATCGCGCGATTTTTGCAGCGATATCGCTCATATTTCCGTGCTATATCGCTCTATGTAGCTTCACCAATACATTTCAATGTAGCTGTTCACATCTCGTCGCTCAATATCGCTTGTAGCTCGTCGCTTCTACATGACCCTTTTTTAGAGCGATTTTGCTCCTGATTGCATACAGCCCAATAGGAAGATGTCGCGCGACACGTCGCTCAAAGTTGCGAGATTTCCATGTCGCTCAGTGTGAATGGGGTCTGACCCTTTTTAAAGGCAGTTCATAATGAAGTGTCTAACTGTCACTTGCAACTGGCTGGAGTCTGTTTTGTAGTACTGAAACTTGAGTCTGTCTGCTAGCAGGTTGAGGTTTGTTTTTTCAAGTGACAACCTGCACTCCACTTTAAAGGGGATAACATGAGCACATTTATTACAGATGCAGTACTTTTGGGAAAATCGAAGTACAAAAAAATATCTGCTGATTGCCAGAAATGCAGAGAGTTCCTGTTCTGATCGGACAGCACAGTACTTTTTACTGCACTTCAGGGCCGGTGCATGAAGGCCCTGCAGTCCAGGGCCGGTGCATTTCCCGAATCCCCTCCCCGACCCCCTGTAGCGCTGGGCCTGCTCCCTATCGGCATGTAATCTCCCGCATGGAAGGTAAGTGAAAAAAAAACAACGCAAGCATCGGGGCAGTTTGACAAGTACAAGTCAAAATGCCCTGTTTTTTCCGCCCTCACCCTGCAGCGCCCTCAGGCGGCCGCTTGCCTGCTTGAGTCCCCACCGCTGTCTGGCAGAATTCTGTAGACCAGTGAAGCAGGAAGGACAATCTCGCAATGCCTCTCTGGGGAGATGTAGTTCTGGGGGCATGCCTAATGTCAGGAACTGACCACAAGCGGCTGACCCTGAATTTTACACACCTGATGATGCCATGGGAAGTGACGAGTCGTTTCTTGATACACAAATGAGGTAAAACAATTGGGACGTGATCTAGAGAGTAACGATGCGTCTGGGTAATTATTCATATGTACGTTAAGGCATCGGGGAATCTTGAAGGCTGAAGATTTACCAGGTGCTGATATACCTGCGTGAGGCCCAAGGCAGTGTTACCATTTTTGTTTTTTGTAGAGTTCCGTTATCTTTAAAGGGGAAACGTTGGCAACATAAGTGAAACCCAGATCTGTTACCTGCTAAGAATGTTCGTTCTTGCCCATTAACCCCTTCGTGACTTACAGTGTACGTCGCCAGCATCGGGGCTGTTTAAACAGACTCCCGGTGACTTTTGCCGCCGGGACTCTGTTTAAACTTGTAGAGCCGACTGTCGGCTTTACAACAGAAGCGATCCTGGCGACTTACCTGTCGCCAGATCGCTTCTGCGTCCC